CGGTGCCGTGGTGCACGTGTTAAGAACCGATAGCACCGATCACCGAGATCCAAATGGGCTTCGACGTCTCGCCGCACGAGTGCAGCGCGACTAGTAAAGTCACATTGTTTAGAGCCTCCCGACTCTCGGAGCTCCACAGTGAGCATATCCTTGCCGGATTCGGCTAGGCTGGCTTCGGCCTTAGAGGCGTTCAGGCATAATCCCGCGGATGGTAGCTTCGCACCACCGGCCGCTCGGCCGAGTGCATGAACCAAATGTCCGAAACTGCGGTTCCTCTCGTACTGAGCAGTATTACTATCGCAACGACTAGCCATCAGTAGGGTAAAACTAACCTGTCTCACCGACGGTCTAAACCCAGCTCACGTTCCCTTTTGATGGGTGAACAATCCAACGCTTGGCGAATTTTGCTTCGCAATGATAGGAAGAGCCGACATCGAAGGATCAAAAAGCAACGTCGCTATGAACGCTTGGCCGCCACAAGCCAGTTATCCCTGTGGTAATCCTTTTCTGGCACCTCTTGCTAAAAACTCTTTATACTAAAGGATCGATAGGCCGTGCTTTCGCAGTCCCTATGCGTACTGAACATCTGGATCAAGCCAGCTTTTGCCCTTTTGCTCCACGCGAGGTTTCTGTCCTCGCTGAGCTGGCCTTAGGACACCTGCGTTATTCTTTGACAGATGTACCGCCCCAGTCAAACTCCCCGCCTGGCAGTGTCCTCGAACCGGATCACGCGGGAGTTGTACGGCGACGGGCGTTGCCGCCACGCCGCCACTCTGCACGCTTGGAACGAAACACCGTGCGCCCGCCGATAGGATCGCGAGTAAGTAATGAAACAATGAAAGTAGTGGTTTTTCAGCGACGACCGCGCGAACGATCTCCCACTTATGCTACACCTCTCATGTCTCCTTACAATGCCAGACTAGAGTCAAGCTCAACAGGGTCTTCTTTCCCCGCTGATTCTCCCAAGCCCGTTCCCTTGGCTGTGGTTTCGCTAGATAGTAGATAGGGACACCACCTCCCATGGCCCCACCAACCTCGCGGTTATATGGGCCGAAGCGCGGGAGGGTGCACACGGTCTGGCCACAAGGCTCCGCATGCACCTTCTTGACTCCCTACAAATTCTTTACTCATTTCCTTGTCCCCGTTGTCACTCTCCCCTCAAGGGGGCTAGACGACACACTAATGTGCGACTCGTTGCCGTTCGCCATGTGATCTTCATCCTGTCGCCTGCGATGCCATGCGTGCGCAAATTTTTTCAGCTCGGCGAAATTTGTGGCGGAAGATACCAGGTCGCGGTAATACACTGGGCCCGGGTCCACACGGGTCACACCATCCAACATCACCGTTCGTAGATCCTCATATAGTGGACACTCCCACAACACATGGTGCCGGTTCTCTACATCCATCCCACATGTACACATGTCATCCTCGCTCAACTGCATCTCGTGTAGCCGCTTCCGGAAGGATCCGTGCCCGGTCAGGATCTGTGAGGTCGGGTAGTCGGGAGCGACCCAGGTATACCTGAGCCGCTCCTTCACCTCCGGAAAGAATTGACGTAAATCATTGCCTCGCAGTTCCTCCTTCCATCTTAAATCCCATTCACGCTCCAACTCCATGCCAATAGCCTTCTTTCGTCTACTCGACTCTGGTCCCGGGAGGTAACGGCATTCAATGTCGCACCTCCCTGCCCGGATCACCTCGAGATCAGCCGGTAGTTCTCCCGCGAGAACAGCTAACGCCGGCGTACTCACCGAGCGGTAGGCCTTCGTTAGGAGGACCAGCGGCCCACGCTGTGCCCGGAGCAGGGCTGTGCGAACCAAGTACATTCTTACTCTTTCCCACCAACAGGCCGCCGCATAGGTTAGAACCGCGACGAACGTCCCAGTATACAGGATCCTCAACGCTGGATACCTAATTCCCCAAGACGAGGCCGACACACGAGACATTTTACCGAAACATTTAGCTGCCCTGTCGCCAATATGTTTGGCATGCTCATAGAATCGATAGGGATGTGTCTATGCAGACTCCAAGAACGATCGTTTGTGATACCGTACTTATCGATGTACCTGCCATTTTTATAGTCGGAGCCCTCTGGAACTTGCCCTTCAGGGTCAGGGATTTCGACTTGCCCGGGGCGAAGTTCAGTCGATTTCTACTTCCCCAGGCCGAGATGCTCTGAAGAGTTCCGAACGCAATCCTTTCTATGCTGGCTCTGGAATCCGCCTCGATAAGTACCGTAATATCATCGGCATATGCAACTAGAGTGACACCGTCCTCGACTGGGAGCTCCAGCAGGTCATCCATTAGCACATTCCACAGGGTAGGTCCGAGAACCGAACCCTGCGGACAGCCCATTGTGGACACCTTCCAGCTAGGGGAGCTACCCACGAAGAGGCCGATCCGCCTGCCAATAAAATAGTCCGATAGCATTCGGTACACATTTGGAGGACAACCACCCCTCTTTACCTTCAAAAGGACCATGGGCCACCAAGCGTTGTCAAAGGCACCAGATATGTCGAGACATAGTGCATGCACATATTTCCGTTTGGAACACCTAACCACTTTTAGAATCGTCTGAATCGCCGTAACCGTAGAACGTCCCCTGCGGAAGCCATGCTGGCCCTCCGAGATGCGCATAAACACCCCGGAGGCACATTCAAGCATCACACGTTCAAGTAACTTACCCAGGACCGAGAGGAGTGTTATAGGACGGTACGCCTTTGGATCAGAGGGAGGTTTCCCGTTATTCTTAGGTAAGACAATAAGCCTGCCCTCCTTCCATACATCAGGGAACACCCCTACTTCCACGCATCTTGCATATACCATGTGAAATTCCGCTGCAGCTGCGGACCAGGTTTCCTTCACCATACGCGCTGTGATCCCGTCAATTCCCGGGGAGGTGTTGGGGAGTCTTCGAACTAGGGCTCCCAGCGCGTCGCGAGATAGAGGGGGCGCATCGCAACCACTAGGGAGTATGGAGGCGGCGATGCGAACCTGCCTGTGGTATGCCCCGTCCTTCGATGCATCATCGTCCGGACATAGGGCCCCCAGGAGTCCCGCCGCCGCCACCTCCACACTCTCCGCACAGCTGCCGGCGTACTCAACGCCGTTGATGACATTGGCAGGAGGATGGAATCTGCCGCTGGCAATCCGGTAGGCCTGACCCCAGAGGTCAGTATTGCCGCTTTCGGCCATGCGGAGGAAGTAACTGTTTTGCGCCTCCTCCATCAGGTTTCTATACCTACGTCGAGCCGCACGAAATGCGTTGCCTGCCATCTCCTCACGCTGTCCACCCAACCTTTTAGTTCTCTGCCATACAGTCCTCAAACGAAAGCTTTCTTTCCGTGCCGTATCTATCTTACTGTTCCACCAATCATATCCTCCTCCCCCTTTCTTCGAGTTCCTGACACCCAAACATTCGTAACCCGCACGCAAAACCACATTCGTAAAGTCCCTCGCTAGTTGGGGGGGAGGTTTACGCACATTCAGATTACCCATTCTTGAGTTGATTCCCGCGCGGAACCGGTCCCAGCATACCCCGGACTCCCTAAATCTGGTTGGCGTGATACAGATCGGCTCGTTGCCGCTTGCCGTGCGTGTGTTATTTCCCACCAGAAATGTCAAGAGTCGATGGTCACTGCTTGACATTTCCTCGTGCACTCGCCATTCATGGACTTTGCAGCTCCTAGTCGACACCGTAAGGTCAATGTTTGAGCTCCCGTTTGGGCCGCAGAAGGTGAATGGTTGGCCGGCCTCGTTTCTTATTAAAAGATCATGGCCATTGATGAAGTCCTCTATTCTTCTTCTCCTCACCTCGGCTTCATGGCCCCTGCCAATGTAGTGGCGTGGGAGACTGTGCCACAGGGGCGAGTGGGCATTCGCGTCCGCTCCAATCACAACCAGGCGGCCACGCATCCTTGTCAGCACCCTTTCCAGCACCTCCAGGTACGGATCCACACTGTCCATATACTGAAAGTATACTGAGGCGAACACGACCTCTTGCCCACCCGCCTTCCTCACTGAGGCTACCATACAGTGGCTAGTGCAAAGGTGGTCAAGCACTGCCACCGCCACGGAGTTGTTCCCCACAAATATACCCGCCTTGGGGCATTCCCCAGATTGGAGAATGCGCAGCTCAGGCGCATGGCGGTATTGCTCCTGGATCAGCACCAGGTCCAGAGACATCTCCTGGACCAAAGACGGGAGCTCCTTGGTCGCGACCTCTGATCCACCAAGGTTCACCTGACCTACTTTAATGTGGCTAGTGAATTTTATAGTTGGTGGCAGCCATAGTGCGCTTCTCCGCGTGCAGTCGAGCGGGGCAGTCACGTGAAGCTGTCACGTGCCCAGCGGCAGGTTTGCCGAACCGCTTGCAGGTCGCACAGCAGGAACTGGGCTCCTTGCACTCGTCCTTGCGATGTCCAGATCCTCCGCACTTACCGCAAATGGTCTCCGAGGACTTGCAGTATTTCTCAGGGTGCCCAAAGATTTGGCACTTGTTGCAACAGGTGACCGAGATGAAATCACACACCTCGACCACCTGCCACCCAACGTACACCCGACCCTTTTCCAGTATCGCCTGCCTAAATGTGGCCGAGCATTCCAACACCGCGGTAGTGGTTCCTCTGAACCCTCTCCTCCGAAACACTTTACACTCGGCCTGGATGCGCGCCACCGTCCAGCTGCTTCCCTTGAAGTTCTGTTCATGCAGCGCCGCAAGGATGTCAGTAGACTCCAAATCTCCATCCAGGTTCCTAAGGCAAACTTGCGGGGACCTTGATTTAGGAACCTCCACACGCAGGGTCGAGGGTGCAGCACACTTCAATTTTTCGGCTCCTTCTGCGGTGGTTGTCTGGACTATCACCCCCGCATTCCCCACCTTACGCAGGCGTTCCACCTGCACCTCCATCGCTACAGGCTTGATGGCCTTTTTTAATACCGCCTTGGTGTCCTCCGCCGTTCTTATTTTATCGCTTTGCTCCTGTACTGGGTAAAAGGCAATGACAGGACCATTTCCGGAAGGCATTGGGGTAGGTTCACCTCCCCTGGTCAGCTTCAGGGCTGAGGCGTAAGAGATGCCCGGTGCGGCCTTGTCCTTGGTAGTTAACTCACTACGCAACACCCGGTTTTCGGCCTTTGCGACTCTTAAATTTGCCTCCGCCAGTTCCAACTCGGCGTCACTCAGTCGTAGATTGAGGGCGGCCACAACCGCCAGCACCTCCCTTACGCACGCTCCCACCACATTCGTGTCACTTTTGTTGAGCTTTGAGCCCGGACCGGTGACAGTAGTCGTTATGTGCTCCAGATTGTCTCGCACTCGATCCAGCAACTCGAGTTTAGAGCTCTTGGCCAGGGTTCGCTCCCTATCCTCCGGGTTGCTGCCTACACTTTCATCGCGGGCCGTTGCGGTAACAATACCAGCTACCGGGGGCACCGTATCACTCCTGGGCGGAGCGGGAGCCGGGGTGGTCGGACGGCACCTACGCATCTCCACTCTTGGCTTTTGCGCCAAGGACCCTTGCTCCTCCGGGGACGTCAGGCTTCTCTTTTCCGCCGCATTTGATCCTAAGCGCGACCTGGTACTCTCATCCAGACCGTATGGAGGAGTTCGCGCCAGGGATTTCCGCGGGGCAAAAGCCGCGCGGTCCGAGTCCTCCTCGGAGTCCATTTTAATAAAAGGCCTAACAGCTGTCAGAAGTTTTTAGAAGTACCCACTAAAATTAATTAAGGAGGGTATTTCGCCAAATAAATATTTGCAATTACCCGCAAGGGGCGATAAAAAAGTTTTTCACCTACCCACAGTGTCCACCACGTGCTCGCACGTGCCTAACCTAATTTATCATGTATAACTATTATTAAACTGTTCGTGCATCAAAGTACTTAAAGTAAAAGAAAGAAAATATTTAGAACTAAGCAACAAGGGGGTAATACTCCCTGCTATTCACACTCCTGTCCACCACGCACGTTCATAGAACACGTCCCGTAAGTCATAACACAGAATAGGTCCTGTCCTTTTACTGGTATTCTGGATTAACTCCTGTCCCACACTACACTACGCAACCAGATATAAACTATAAAGTTATTAACACTGATAGTAAAACTGCACAACTAATTTAAATGTAATGGAAATTTCCACACACAACTAGCTGCGGAGCTAATCACACGCACGTCCGTTCGCTTCAGCGTCCGGCGGCGAGTAGATAGGGACAGTGGGAATCTCGTTAATCCATTCATGCGCGTCACTAATTAGATGACGAGGCATTTGGCTACCTTAAGAGAGTCATAGTTACTCCCGCCGTTTACCCGCGCTTGCTTGAATTTCTCACGTTGACAGTCAGAGCACTGGGCAGAGATCACATTGCGTCAACAC